GCTTGATGAGCGGTGTGTAGGTCCATGCCCAGGATCTGAACCCACAAATCCCGGGCCGCCAAAGCAGAGCGCATGAACTTAACCACTATGCCATCAGGGTGGCCCCCTATAGTACCTTCTAATAGGAGACTGACCTCTCCCCAGGACTTGGCTGCCTCGTCACACTGTTATCAATCACTGCTTGGAGAAAAGAGGCACCTTCTGCAAGTGGGTAGGAAGACACAGAAACTGAGGATGGGGGTTGAAGGTGGTCAGGAAGGGAGGAGTAAGGATTCAGAATAGGAGGGGACAGGGTGAAAATGTGTCATGAGGTTCCTCAAAAGTCGGTGAATTCTGAATCCCATCATTTTCAGTGAATGAATTCAGATGATTCACTTCCCTTCATTAGTCTTCTATTTCCTTCTCTGTGTAATGGAAAGGGAACTGCTGGCACTTGCTTTAAAGACAGAGAAGCATATAGAATCCAGCTTAGGAGGGCCATAAGCACATGAAATTATACATCATATGGGCTATGGATATTATGTTGGTTTTCTTCTGAACAATATTTTTGAGTATATCAGCTCCCAGCTGCATTTATTTCTCTAAATGTCATTGACTTTTTGGCAGTTTTCAGCAAACCCACCAGTTTCTGGTTTCCCATCCCAGCCCTCTGTTCCTCCGTATCCCACTTAGCTTCCAGTTAAGCAGCCATTGCCATCTAACATGGTAACCTGGGCTCTAAGCAGAAGTTCTAGGACCAGGGCCTAGCTTTGGTTCCTGGTGAGGGAGTCAGAATCCAGAAGGTCTGGAAAGCCATGACCAACACTCCTTGAAGGCAATAAGTTCTTGACTTAGGAAGTAACTGGGTTTAAGTTAGAGACAAAGAAAAAATTTGACCAAGGCTCAAAATATTCATGCAGAAGTCTGAGCTGACTGGCCTGGGTGGGGCTAGGAATTGGGCCAGAGATGGTGAAGCAGGAAAGGGCGAGGAAGGGTAGGGGGTCATAGGCTGAAGTTGGAGGGACCAACTTGGTCCCTCTGTTCATAGCGCTACTGACGACAAAGTATAACCTCAGGGTGCAGCCCCTGGGCTCTTTGCTTTCCATGAGTAAGGAAGCAAGAATGTGGCTTCCCCGCCCCACTCTTTCCACAGGCCACTGGGGGCCTAGAAGTTCCAGCACCTCCCCTATCATGTTACGGTCCCAAGACGTGGCTTTTAGTGCCTGCTGTGACGACAGCATCTTTGCCCTTAGCACTAAACACACAGGGAGAAGGAGTCTTCAGATCCAAGGAAGCTATGTGATCAGCAATTAGCATCTCCTTCCCAGAACTGCAGAGGAGTCCATCTGCCCCCGTGTAAGAAAGAGAGAAGAGCTTCAGGCCGCAGACAACAGAGAGGAGTGGGAGGAAGTGGGAGTTAGGGCTGTGGGGGCGAGCAGCACATGCAGCTGGCCAGTTGCTGGGAACTGCTAGCTAAGGACATAGCATCCCCACTTGGCTGGAATTCTGGGATGGATTCCAGAATGGCCTGGTCTTCTGGGCCGGTACAGCCATAGTCAGGAAGGCAAGGGAGGCACTCAGGGTAGGAATTATAGTTTCCAAAGTTCATCCTATCTCTAGCGTCTAGATCTGTGCCTGGCACACAGTAGATCCGTGATAAATACTGGATGAATGAATAATGGGGTGAATGAATGCTTTCACACACAAGCATGATCTCATTCAGTCCTCAAAGTGAGGCACAGGCAGGGCAGGCATTGCCTCATTTTATGGTTGGAGAATTGAGACCAAGAGAGTTAAGTGTCTTGCCTAAGGTCATTCAACTTAGATGTGTCAGACCTGAGGCTAGACACTGTGCTCTTTCTATACCCAAGCTGAACCTTCTTGGTACAGCAATCCAGGAATACATCCTACGACTTGACATGAACTTCCTTTGGGGTCCTGCTGGTCAGAAAATAGCCCTTCAGGAGCCCAGTTACCTGGACACAGTCTCAGGGCCAAGTTCGGACATCCTGGTCCCCTTGCACACCTGGCATCTGCCTGCCCTTTTATGAACAGCTCCAGGAAAGGGGGCCCCTCCATTAGTCTCTGCTGACTCAGGAGATCTGGACTCCTGAGACACAGAGGCAGGGAGCTGGTGGCTTTACTCTGGGAGTCAGGAAAGAATGAAATCATACACATTCAGTTCCTTATTCTTTTACCCTTGATAGAAACTTCAGATAGCCTAGACCACCAAGTTAAGTCCTGCAACTCAGATGAGCAAGTAACTCATATTACAGCAAGGCCCTCCCAGGAGCTCAGAGCCCATAGCCTGAGGAGTGTTTCTGGAAGTTCTCAAAAGCCAGTAAGATGGCTCTCCGAGCTGGAACATCTTACATCATCTGGCCCATCTCTTCACAGCATTCTGTCTTGTACCTCTCTCTTGTGGAGGCAGGGAGGTATAGAGCAATGGAATGAAAATCTGGGTGCTGGCTTTGCCGCTCGTCAACTGTGTATCTTCTGTCCACCTCATTGTCCTCATCTGCAAAATGGGAATAACAATTCTCAGCTACATCACAAAGAAGTTGTGAGTTTAAAGGAGAATGGTTTATATCAAAGTGCTTTTTAGCACAAGACAGAAACGATGCCGGTACTATTTTTTATGGCAAGGAAAAAAAGACAGAGAGGCGGGAAACTTCTGGGGTGCCCCAAAGCTCTCTGTTTCCACTTGTTCCTGATTCATTTATAATAAAGCACCTGCGTGAACAAGGCACACACCAAGTGCTGAGGGAGAGACAAAGGTATTTAAGATGTGGTCTATGCCCTCCAAGAACCGAAAGACTAGCACAGACTGTGCACCAAAGGACAGACACAGAGATTTCAGAGAGCGCCAAAGATCACAGAGTGAAAAGGAAGTTCTGTGAAGAGTTAGAGGCTCTAGGATTGTTCAACCAGGTGAAGAGGCAGCAGGGGGAAGGAGGGGGAAGAGGATGTCACGCTGCATAACGGTCTCCAAGCCTCTTTGACAGGGAGGAAATGAGGTCATCCTACTCTTGAGATTCAGCATGACAGCCTCCAGCCAAGTAATCTGGAGTCATGAGAGCTGCTGGGGAGCTGTGTGATTCACGAGACAGTTTGCTGGGAATTTCCTGATAACTAACCTAAGAGTTTCAGGGTAAGTCCTCAGGCTGCAACATCTCTGTTTACATTTTGATCATGTTTATTTACAATTAATGTATTCTAAATCTAAACAAAACATGTCCCGGTCTTCTAGAGGAAGTAGTGAGGCCAGCTCTGAGGCCTGTAGCTCCTCTGACTTAGTCCATCCCTGGGGAGGCTGGCAGCTCAGCCGGGCACAGAAAAGCTCTCTCTGGAGGACTATGGGTCACCTGCCTCGTGACAGCTGGAAAGTTAACTTGCACTTTCCCCAGGCGGAGACTGGCATCCTGAGACCTTGGGCTGGAGCAGAGCAAAGAGTCTTTCCTCCTTCCTACCTTCCTGGCACTCTCCCTGCCCTTGTCCTGCCCCATTCAAGTGGTCCCAGACCCAGTCCAGGTTTGCTAGGCAGCAAAATGCTGTAGGCCTAGGTGGGGAGAGGGACCAAGCCTTGGGCCTGGCCTTGAGCCTCTAGAGAGTTATAGGGACTCAGCCCCCTCCTCTCCCATTAGGGGAGACAGCCCTGCTAGGTGGAATTGACCCCAAGCCCTGGTTCCAACACTAGGGGAAAGGGATGCGGGTGACCCAACCTTGGAGTCTCTGCTGTGCTCCTTCAACTGTGCCTGAGGGATATGTGCGTGTGCATGTGTGTGTGCATGTGCTTGTGTACACAAGTGTGTGTGCTCACCATCAGGCAGGAAGAACGGGTAGAGTCCTTTACACATGGTCTGTCTTTCTGGAGGCCCACCTTATTTGATAAGCAATTATTTAACCTTATTAGAAACAAGGCTGTATGATGAAGTAGAATACTAAATACATGTGCATTCAGAACTCTCTAATCATCTTTTTGGAACGGGTGATATAAGGATGTGTTTTCAAAAATTTAAATAGCGTAAAAGGGCATACAGTGAAAAACAAATCTTCTTCTCATTTTTGTCCTCCAGTTCCCCAATTCCTCTCTTCAGAGGTGAAAACAGAACTTCCTACCCCTCCACAGTTTACTGTATACATTAATAAGGCTTTACTATTCCATTGTCTTTATCAACTAACTATACTCCAGCCCAAGCAAATAGATGGATTGTTCATTGTAGGAACTTCCTGAAAGACCCATCAACACTTCAACAGAAAGCATCAACAGTTTGTGCCCTAAGACCTCGTTCTCACAATCCTACAATATTATATGATGATCCTTATCCAATCCTTATCAGGCCCTCACTTTCAAAGACCACCCTTAAAACAAACTGCAAATTCTCCATAAAATCCGACCTTACCTCCTCTCTCTCGTTCCCCACTACCAAAATCCCTAAATTCAGTAAGCAATAAACTCAGCTTTGTCTTATCCGCTGGTTGTGTTGATGATTTGGGGGGAGCCGGCACTCGACAGAAGCAGCCCCTATTAGCAGGTTTTTTGTCTGTGTTTCAGCGAGTGCATGTCACGTGCATTTTCACGTTGAGAAAGAGAACTCATAGCTATATGAGCTGCGGACCCTGCCCCTATATATCCAGGGGTCTGAATCAGTCTCCCAGGCAGTTGGGGGTCGAGTGTGAAAAGGCTGGAGAAGAGCTGATTTAGGGGATCCGGGAGGAGGTATCAGAGCTGTACCGGGACAAAGTCCCGGCAGCGCCTCTCCTCTCTGCACTGGGGCGGGGCCCAGGCCAGATGAATGGGATGAGCGGGCTGCGAATTTAGATGCCTCTAGATCCCACAATTCAGACCTCGCATGTCTCCTCCCCTGGGGACCACGCTGCCCCTCACTCTCAGTCATGGCTGGGGAAGCACGCGGGGTCCAGGTCGCGGGGCGGGCTCCGGGAAGGGGAGGGAAGGGAGTGGAAAGGGCGATCCCGGGCTGGGGCGGGGCCAGGCTGGGGCGAGTCCTAATATAGAGTCCGCGCAGCTGGCTAGCAGCACAGCGCAGAGACTGGAGCCCCGGAGCCCGGCTAAGTGTCAGTGTCAACCTGTGCCCGCCGTCCCGGCTCCGCAGCCCTCCTGCCACAGCCGCCGGTGAGTGCGCGCCGCCCTAGGAGCGCGGGGCGAATGCGCGGCGGCCCCGTCCGCTGCATTCCCTTCCCCCTACCCCGGCTGCTCCGGCTCGGCTGCGGCCGCGGCTGAGTCACCGCTCCCCGTGTCCATGCGTCTCCCCCCGGATGCCGGTCCGGGCTGCGCCGGGACCCCTGAGGCCCGAGAAAGGAAAGACGGCCGGGCCTGGGGAGCCTGGTCACCGCGGGCTCGCCCCACAGGGGACCTAGGGGCTTCTGCCCTGAACTGCAGTAACCACCCGGCCCGCTTTCTCGCTCCTCCGCTTCTTCCCCTGACTTCTCCTTTCCTTGCAGAGCCGCTGTCTAGAGCCTCAGCCTCGCCACCATGAGAGTCCTGCTGGCTTGCCTGCTCCTCTGTGCCCTGGTCGTGAGCGACTCTGAAGTGAGTGGCTTCTCTGCTTTGACTTATGGTGGCGGGGTTTGCTGGACCCCTGAACAGCGCCAGGGGAAGGAAGGGGCTACATAGGGAACTGGAGTCCTCCGAATTCCATGAACAGCAGGGCCAGACCCTCCCAGGAAAATAGGACAAGTGTGGCAAAGGGGGCCTTGAGAACCAAGGGAGTTCTCACTTGCCGGCAAAGGAGGAAAAACCGCAGGGACTGCCCCAGCCTGCTGGCACCTGATATGTGAAGTTTGCTTGAGTCAATCCATTTCTCCCTGCTGGAAATCTATGATCTTCCATTTGAGGGCCAGTTAGATATGAACAGAGTGAGGAGAGAGGGAGCTGGCGGGAAGGGTGAGTTTTGGGATTGGGGCCAGTTTATCCACACCCTGGAATCCCAGGAGCATGGGACCTTCAGTGAACTTTCCCCCTCCCCTCCCCTCTCTTCCAGGGCAGCCATAAACTTCATGGAGTGTCCATTGCATGTGAGTATCCACCCCTTGCATAATATCTGGCTGCACAGACATCTTGAAAAAGACTCAGGGGGCAGCCCCTCCCTGACCCTGCTGCAGGGCTGGCTTCCCCCTTGCTTCTTCCCACACTCCTTGCTTACCCCCCACCTTTGTGCTCTGCAGCAAACTGTGGCTGTCTGAATGGAGGAACATGTGTGTCCTACAAGTTCTTCTCCAACATTCAGCGGTGCAACTGCCCAAAGAAATTCCAAGGGGAACACTGTGAAATAGGTATGGGGATCCTGATTCTAAGTGGGGAGGAGGGGGCACCAGAGATTTTGGGGCAGGGAGAGATGGGTGGGATGCAAGAGCAGGCAGGAGTTAAGAGCTGGAGGTGGAGTAGGGGACATCTTCATCCCTATGTGATGTACACAGTCAAACATAAACACACACTGTCTCATGAATCTGTGGCTGCACAAATGTGAGATGGAGATGGAAGGAGACACTTTTCTAGTGTCTTCTGCCAGGGTTTAAATCATGTGGTGTTTGGCAGGATCTCTAAAATGCCTGTCTGAACTTCCTCCTTATTCTAATATTTTTTCATCCTCACATCCTTCTGTAGATACATCAAAAACCTGTTATGAGGGGAATGGTCGCTCTTACCGAGGGAAGGCCAAAACTGACATCAGGGGCCGGCCCTGCCTGGAGTGGAACTCTCCCGCAGTCCTTATGAAAACATATCATGCCCACAGACCTGATGCCCTTCAGCTGGGCCTGGGGAAACACAATTACTGCAGGTGAGGTGGGGGCAGCAAGGACCCTCCCCATGGCCTCACAGAAACCCTTGTTACCATCCCCTTCTGCTTCCAGAGTGCTGGCCACAGCATGAGAAAAGCAAGGCCTCTAGTTGAGTCTTCCCTGCAGGGGAGGATGCAGGAAAGGCATTCTGGGTTGGTATGACACCCCCTTCCACTCTGTGTTGCTAGGAACCCAGACAACCAGAGAAGGCCCTGGTGCTATGTGCAGGTTGGCCTAAACCAGCTTGTCCAAGAGTGCATGGTGCAGGACTGCTCTTTTGGTGAGTGTCACTGACCTGTTTATGATGGTAGGGTGGAAGGGGACAAACTCGTACAGCCCCTCATTCCATCATAGGAGGGATGAGGAAGGAGCCTGCCAGGCCTTGAAAAACTGGGAGGTCAGAGGACAAGGAGAGGGGCACTTTATCCTACCTGCCTCCCCAAGACATCCCTCTTTTTCTCCTTCAGGAAAAAGTACCCCCTCTCCTCCGGAAAAAGCAGAATTTCAATGTGGTCAGAAGGCCCTGAGGCCCCGCTTTAAGATTGTTGGGGGAGAATTCACCACCATCGAGAACCAGCCCTGGTTTGCGGCCATCTATAAGAGGCACCGCGGAGGCTCTGTCACTTACTTGTGCGGCGGCAGCCTCATCAGTCCTTGCTGGGTGGTCAGCGCCACACACTGCTTCATGTACGTCCCCCCGTCTCTTCTCTCTGACCCTCCTGCCCTACCCCGAAAACATCCCTTTCTCTTTCCCAGCGAAAGGTTCCACTTCAGTTCTCAGCCCCTCTCCGTGCAGCCCATGGCCTTGGGAACAAGTCATGCTCTGAGGTGGTGTGGAGGGGAAGTGACAGGATCTCATGAGATCAGACTGTCTGACAGGTCTTCCCTCCCACAGTAATCACCCAAAGAAAGAGGACTACACTGTCTACCTGGGTCGGTCAAGTCTTAACTCCGAGACCCCTGGGGAGATGAAGTTTGAGGTGGAAAAGCTCATCTTGCATGAGGGCTATAGTGCTGACACACTTGCTCACCACAATGATATCGGTGAGTGGAAAACCCTCAACTGCCATAATAAGGATGGTTAGGGGAAGTGGGGTCCAAGAAGAGACTCAGGTGGGAGGTTGAGGTTGTAGGGGAACTTGAGGACCCTGCTTTATACAACAAAGGGAGTGATGGAGAAGGATTCAGAGTGACACATACGAGGTGCCTGGTGCTCCTCTGTAGAGTTCCTGAATTTCCAAACAGATAACCTCCTCTGGGTGGCAGTGGCCCCTTGGGCATATGGCTTGGGCTGGAATGCCCCTTCCTTTGTTGGATGCAGCCTCTGTCTGTCCCAGGATATAGAAGTTGGAGAGAGCATTGGGCTGGATTTTAGCCCAGCTACCTCAGCCAGGGGTTTTTGCAGAAAAAAACCCATACAGTTGTATGTGTCAGCCCTGGGTGTCCCAGCCTTTGTAGGAGCTGGGACAAAGCCCTCGAGGCATGGGACAGGGGAGGCTTCTTTTGGGTGACAAGCTATCAGCAGATCTCCCAGGATGAGCCCTGACCCTAAATGACCTAGGGATAGAAAGCCACTCCCTCAGCATTTGGTGGGGAGAGATGGTGACCACCTGACCCCTTGCCCCTCCCCCAGCCTTGCTGAAGATCAGTTCCAGCTCTGGCCAGTGTGCACAGCCATCCCGGTCCATACAGACCATCTGCCTGCCCCCACCATATGGCGATGACCATTTTGGCACAAACTGTGAGATCACTGGCTTTGGAAAAGAGACTTCCAGTAAGTGATATTTGGGGCTGCCTGAGGGTCTTGGGGGAGTGTTGTAACCTAGAAGTGAGCTCAGCTTGATCAAGGGAGGACTGTGGAGATAGAGACGGGAGCATCGTGGAGGCAGCAGATGGGTCCAGGGATGCAGTGGGGAACATTGTTTAGAAAATGATGGATCATAAAGGTAAATAGATGGGGGGTGAGGGGCTATAGATGGGGTAAAGGCTCAGATTTGGGTGGGAAAAGAATAAGGGCTTTCTCTGGTAGGGACACTTTTTGGTCCCCTCCCTGGCAGAAAATCCCAGTGGGAGGGCTAGACAGATACATCTTTACATAACTTCCCCCTGTTTCTTCCATCTAGCTGGCTATCTCTATCCAGAACAGCTGAAAATGACTGTTGTGAAGCTGGTTTCCCACCAGGAGTGTCAGCAGCCCCACTACTACGGCTCTGAAGTCACCACCAAAATGCTGTGTGCTGCTGACCCTCATTGGGAAACAGATTCCTGCCAGGTGAGAGTTCCAAGCATCTCTCTCCATCATCTCCAAATCTCCCCGGGGCTCCTGGGCCTGTCCCTGTCAGCTTTGGGAGGTGTCTCTCCAGCCAAAGCCCCCAAAACCCAGAATCAGGAGCCCAGGTCTTAAAAGGCTTAAACCAATCCTTATACGTTTATCAAACAGTTGTCATGAGCCTGGCTCTGTGCTAGGCACTTCAGACTAGGTGAGGGAGGGGGACTAAGAAAGAGAAAACAATAGAAAATAATACAACTCAGTACTCAGGGTGTGGTGTGAATTATAAATGATCAGTAGGAGAGAGGTGAGTGCCCACTGGATGGTCACACAAGGGAGGCTTTAAAGAGAATGTGATTCAATAGGAAACTGAGGAGGCAGAGAGAAGAAAAGAGAGCAGTTCAATTGAAAGATAAAAAAATGAGAATGAGCACAGAGCGGGGAGGAGAAGGAGGGTCTGAGAATGTAGATGGAATAGTGGCAGATAATAGGGCTTTGAAAGCCAAGCAGAGGATTTTAAACTTGATGTGGTAGGAAATGAGGAGTCACTAAGCACTTTGACTCTAGGAAACTCCCTTCTCTCTCAGGCATGATTGGGTGCTAGGACCAGATGGCCGCCTCCTCGCTTCTCCCAGGGTTCACCTTTTGTGTCTTTGGCTTAACAGGGAGACTCAGGGGGCCCGCTGGTATGCCCCATCCAAGGCCGCCTGACTCTGACTGGGATCGTGAGCTGGGGCCGTGGATGTGCCATGAAGGACAAGCCAGGCGTCTACACGAGGATCTCACGCTTCCTGCCCTGGATCCGCACTCACACCGAGGAAGAGAATGACCTAGCCCTCTGAGGGCCCCCAGGGAGCCAAGGGAGGAGAGGGGCACCACCCTCCCACATTGACCATGATTTTTGCAGTAGAGCCACCTGTACCAGCTATATATAAGGAAGAGACTGAGGAACATAGGCTCTGCAGAGATGGTTTTACTTGTGCTGCCCACCAGGGTGAGCGAAAATAGCTTTACCCTCAGATACAGGCCTGGGTGCTGGGCGCCCAGATCCCCCCTGGCCAGGATGGAGGGGTGGTCCTGACCCAGGATGGTATTGACCAGTAGTTTGTCTTTTTCTGGACTGAAGCCTCCTGGAGTTAACAATGGCATCTCCTGTGCATGGGTGGAAGGAGAGCCAGCTCCCCCAGCAGTGGGCATTCATGAGGCCCATTGTTGGGAAATGAATAATTTCCCCATTACGAAGTGTAACAGAACTGAGGTCTCTTCAGGGAGCTTGGCCAGTGTGGGAACAGTGGTTTAGGGATTAGAGACACTAATGACTTGAAAGAAGGGCTCTGGCATTCCATGAATGTATCAGGTAATATTATATGTGTGTGTGTATATTTGCACATGTGTGCATGCACTGTGAGTCTCAATGTGAGCTGGTGTGTTCCTGTGTCTGACTGCAAGTCTAGATATTTCCCTAAACTATATGGACTGTGATGCCACGTAGAACAGTCTGTCTGGAGAGGTCATGGGTCACTCCTGGGGCCTCTTGGGTCTCCCACCTGACAATGCCTATGGATGTATCATTCTGGGGCATGGCCCGGGACCCGCACTAGGTGTCTCAGTCTCACTTTCACACTGATGTCCCTTTCTTGGCCAGTTATCCCTTCTGACCTTCTAGCCAAGTTCATCCAATCCTCACTGAGTGGGGTGAGGACCACTCCTTTACAGTGAATATTTAATAATTATATTCTGCTATTTTTATTTATATCTATTTTTATAATTTTGAATAAAGATGATCAATAAAATGTGATTTTTCTGAAGACTTTGGCTCTTCCCTGGTGCTTGTATGTGAGGGAGTTGGGGAGCATAAAAAGTTGAACATGACGATGGTGGCATGCACCCCAGAGTTTCTTGTGGAGTTGCATCTCTGGACTTAATGGGGCTTTGGGAAGTAGAGGCTAGGAGAGTTGTAGAGAAGGCCCTCCATAGCACATAAAGTACAAAAAGATGCCCCAAGTCAGGGGTCCACAGCTTAGTGTGCAGGCTGGGTATCAACTCCCAATTCCCTCCTCAGCCTGAAGCCTTTGTGCAGTGTACATCTTATACAACTGTACACGGTGATCCTCTTGGGAATTAGTCCCACCATATTCTCTTCACTCTACCCCAATGATCCCTTGGGCTGATCTCAACCAAGGAGAACATCTGCATGAGTGAAAATTGCTGATCCAAAACCCAGCTCAGCTTGAGTCTGTGGCATTCAGGGAACAGAAAACGTAATTTCCCATCATCTGTGCGTGGGGCTGGTGCTGAGTTTTCTCAGTGTATTAATGGAGCTCATGACTAGTCATTGCTATCCCTAATATCAGGGGGCTCAGAATCTAAAGCTGGGTGCTATCTTAATGGAGGTGACCATATATTTTGAACTAAACATCAGCTTCTGAAGAACTAGGGTATAGAAGGCAGGCCAGGAGATATAGCTGGATGCCAAAATATTGGAATTTCCAAGCTATTTTGATGGGTTTTGGCAGTGTTTCTTAAGCAAGTCATCTGAGAATCTTTTAAAAATATAAACAAGCCTATGCTCCACCCATAGAGATTGTGATTCAGGTCAGGGCTGGTGCCAGGTCTCCCCAGGTGTTTCTGATTATCAGCCCTGATTGACATCCTGTGGGGACAATTGGCCAGATTATGTGAAAAGCCCATTAAATTCAAGACGTGGTCAGCATGTGTTCCCTGCATGAACAGTCAGTTTTCTGAGTGGGGTTTGGGGATGCAAAGTCTCCCAGGCTTCCCTAGACCATGGGCCCCTGGAGGGCAAGGACCCAGTTTTTAATCCCCATAATCTAGCACGTTGTCTTATTCGGTATGATGCGGTGGTTCAGAGCATGGATATTGGAGTCAGGTGGCCTGGACTACAATCCTGGCTCTAACACAAGCTGTGTGACTTGGGAAAGACTCTTAACCTCTCTGTGCCTCAGTTTCCTCATCTGTAAAAAAGATAATAATATCTACCTTCTAGGATTGTTATAAAGATTCATGAGTTCATAAGTCTCTTAGCATAATCCTGGCACCTAGAAAAGGCACAAAAACAGTGGCTATTGTTACAAAGGTATGTAAATTTTTGTAGAATTGAATGGGAACCCCCTCCCCTCTTCCACTCCAAGGTTACATTGGTATTGTTTTGTGGGAGCTGAAACTTGCTAGGAAAGAAAAGGCATGATGTGAAGCTGAGGGGCCCAGCCCAGGCTGAGTTGCTGCTCAGCCTCTGCATTTCCCCCAGGGGCCAAGAAAGATCTTGTTCCAGCATGAGCAGCTCCAGCATCAGGGCTCACAGACACTGAAAACAGGAAGTGTGAGCCCCACATGCGGGGTTGAGCAATGACACGCTAACTCTCCAGACCATTTCCCAGCCACCACCCCAACCCCCCCAGCCACCTCTGCCTCTTCCCTGAATCGTGTAGACCTCACGCAGGGCTGGCAGGGATCATCCACTTCTCCAGGAACCAGTTTCATGGCTCCAGACCCTACTCTGTCAATCACTTTAGGGACTGCCATCTTCTAGTGCTATGTACTGGACACTGTGCTAAACTCTTCACATATTATCTGCTTTAATGCTCACAACAATCCCAGGAGGAAGATGTGATCATTAGCCCCATTTCACAGTAGAGAAAATGGAGGCACAGAGAGATTGAATGACTTGCCCAAGGCAATGCTGCTGCTAAATGCAGAGCCAGGGTTCGGACTCAGGCTCAGACGGTGGGCTCCAGAGCGCACAGGCCCAGCACTATGACATAGGACCTCTCAGCAGAGCCCAACCTGGGAAAGGAGAGCAGCCCTCCTTTCAAGCTCCCTACTTCAGGAATGCTGGGTTTCTAGGCTAAGCGTATCTGAATTTCAACCCTGGCCTGGATTATAATTCTTTCCTCTTAAAAGATTCCCAGGCCAAGAGAGGAGACCACACTCAGCCACCAGTTTCAAAGTAAAACTTTACCCTTCTCAAGCTAACCTCAGCCTTTTTTGCTGAAACCTGGTTTCATTGAAGTGGTTTCCGTTTTCACCAGAACCCCTCCTTCTGAAATATTCTGTGGCCCACTCTATTATGAGGACTCAACTTGATTTCCACTTACGCTCTGCCTGTCCCAAGCAGACCCCCCACAGCATCTGCATCCCTGGACAGACCCCTCCACGCTCCCCCCGAGTCTGTCCACCTTCCTCCCTGGCAGCAAACATTTGAGCCTTCCCTTTGAATCAGACACAGTGAGAGGAGCTGCTGAGGTGTTTTTTTTAATAACAGCACTATTGAGATATAATTCACATACCATACAATTTACCCACGTAAAGTGTACAATTCAATGATTTTTAGTGTATGCATGGAGTTGTGCAATTATCACCACAATCAATTTTAGAACATTTTCATCACCTCAAAAAGAAACCCATTCCCGTTAGCCGTCACTCACTTTTTCTCCCCAATCCCTTCAGCCTCTAATCTGCTTTGTGTCTCTATGAGATGCCTATTCTGGACATTTCATATAAATAGAACCATATAATATGTGGTTTTTTGGGACTGACTTCTTTCGCTTGCCGTAATGTTTTCATCCATGTTGTAGCACGTGTCAGTACTGTTGCTAAGTTTTAAATAGCAAATCGGGAGAAAAGATAGTATAGGCCCCCTTCTGAGCTTGTAGTCCCATTGAGAGTCATTCAACAAGCTTTAAAAAAAATTTTTTTTTAGGTATAAAACACCAGGCACTGTTTTGGATACTGGGGTTACAAGAATGAATGAGACATAGTCCAGGTCCTCAAGGAGCTCACAGCTTTGCGAAGGAGACAGATCCATGACCACAGTTCAATGTGATAAACACTATAATAAAAGTATGTATAAAGAGCATGGATCAATGATGTGGAAGCAATTAATTTTGTCTTGGGAAATCAAGGAGGACTTTACAGAGGAGGTGATATTTTACCTGGGGCTTCAAAGATGCAAAGAAATTTGCCAAAGGAGGAGGAGAAAGGCGTTCTAGGCATGGGGAAAATCGTGGAGGCGTGAAAAGGCAGGATGTTCTCAAGAAATAAAGCATAAACTGCTGTGGTAGAGAAAAGAGTTTGGGGGGCAATGAGCAGGCAGAGAGTAGTAAGGGAAGGAGCTGGTGGGATCCAGCTGGTAAGGACCCTTAAACAGGGCTGATACTCAGCAGCAGGCACCAGTACTGCTCAATCACTAAATAGCCGCTGTCCCAAGAACCCCTCCCTGTGGCCCCCTGCTTCCCAGTCTCTCTCCACTTCTTCATGATCCAGCAATCAAAGGGTTAACGCCTGACACAGAAGGGGCCTCTGAGACTCCAGTCTCCTCCAGCTGCCCACCGAAGTGTTGGTACTCTGGAGTCCTGCTAGTTAAATATTTTGAATATCACCTCTTGCCCTTAAGTACTTTTTTTCAAAATCTAGAAAGTTAATTAAGGTTAAGGAACTATAAAAAGTTTTATTTTTTCTCTTACCTAAAAATTTCCACTGGATTGTAAAAGTAACCATAAACGTAAAATGCTTCCATAGCATTCCACAGCCATTGTTAACATCTCTGAGTCTCCTTTCCAATCTCAACGTCCTCTACGTGGCCTGGAATGTTGGGTTCCCCAACACCTGATCTCAGACCTTCTCATCTTTGCACCCTAAACTTTCTCCCAAGCAGTCGCATTCACATCCAGGCTTAAACTATCACCAAGAAACAGTTGACTTACAAATGCTTATCTCCAGCCAGACCTCTCCTCTGAGCTTCAGACCCTTATTCTCCATTGTCTACTTGCCACCCTCTTTTGGTTGTCACACATAGGGCACTTCAAACTCAGTCTGCTCCAAGCTGGCCCTATCTTCAGGTCCCAAGCTGATGGACTTCTTCCATCACTCTCTGTCTCAGGGGATAGCACCACCTCCATTCACATCCAGAAACCTAGGAGTCATTGTAATGTTTCTCTCCTCTTATCCCCCTCATCCCATCCATCACCAAATTTGGCAATTCGCTAATAGCTCTTGAAGTCATCCATTTTTCTCCATTTTGACCACCACCATTAGTTGAGCCCAAGCCACTATCAACTCTTGCTTGGACTACCACAAT